ACCTGTGAATAGGGATGGTAGTCCCTGCCCCATGGGGCGTAGCACAAGGCCTGCTGCCAAGATTCACCTACCCAAGCCCCGGGAGGAGAGCTGGGGAAACAGGCTTGGGGGTCTAAGGCTCAGTGGCCCTGCTGATAATGGCGTCTGCCTGGGGGTGGCCAGCAGAGGGAAGAGGGACGGCGTGGGGGCGGGGTCTGGCCGAGGATGCGTGGGGGCGGGGTCTGACCAGGGCAAGACAGAGTCCTCCTGGGTGAGACCCACCCTGTGCTCCACAGAGTCCCTGGGGACATTGATGAGGTGAACGCCTTGAAGCTGCAGGTAGACCAGTGGAAGGTGCCGACAGGCCTGGAGGACCCCCACGTCCCTGGTGAGCCTCCATTCCCCTAGGAGCTGAAGCAGGCCTGCTCCAGGCAGTTGAAACACTTGGGCTCCCCCTTATTCCGCCAGTGATGTCATGGCTCCCGGTCCGTTTCTAGCACAGACACCCCCTCCTATCCTGCAGTCTCCTGGGGGCCCTCCTTCCGGCTTAGCCTGCCGCTCTCCTGCACTCCCTGCATCAGCCCCCAGTCGTGTGTGTGTCCCCCCCCCCCCCGCCCCCCGGTCAATCCAGGCCCTCAGGAGCACCGACGCGCCAGGGGCTGGGCCTTTCCAGTCGGGCCCGACACTCCCGCGCTCACGCCGCACGCTGTCCCTACCCTGTGTCGCCCCAACCCGCTGACCGCTCCACGGCTCCCGCCCCGCCCCGCCCAGGGGAGCCCGCCCAGCAGGCTGTGCTGAGCACCCGCCCGCGCTGTGTCCGCAGCTTCGCTGCTGAAGCTGTGGTATCGGGAGCTGGAGGAGCCCCTGATCCCGCACGAGTTCTACGAGCAGTGCATCGCGCACTACGAGAACCCCGAGGCCGCCGTGGCCGTGGTGCACGCGCTGCCCCGCATCAACCGCCTGGTGCTGTGCTACCTCATCCGCTTCCTTCAGGTACGCGGCGGGCCCGCCCCCACCCCCCCGGGGCACGCCCGCGCGCGGGGCCCGGCCCACCCTCCTGTCCCCCCTGCGCAGGTGTTCGTGCAGCCCGCCAACGTGGCCATCACCAAGATGGACGTCAGCAACCTGGCCATGGTGATGGCGCCCAACTGCCTGCGCTGCCGATCGGACGACCCGCGCGTCATCTTCGAGAACACTCGCAAGGAGATGTCGTTCCTGCGCGTGCTCATCCAGCACCTGGACACCAGCTTCATGGAGGGCGTGCTATAGCACGCGGGCCCCAAGGACCGAGGGTGGGGACAGAGCCAAGCTCGGGTGCGCCCGGGCAGGGGAGCACGCGGGGAGGGGGGAGGGAACGCCCCAGCCGCGGAGGCAGCATGCCAGGCCCCGCCCATGCCCGCTCCAGCCCTGGAAGCCCCCAACTCTCCCTCCCAGGCCCTTGGCCTGAGGACGCAGCCGGGGCAGAGGGCGAGTGGGAAGAGCGCCTCTGGGCCCCCTCCCACCCCGCCGCCTAGTGCCCAGTTCCTTGGGCACCGCCCCGCCCACCGCCGGCCGGCCAGCCCCGAGAAAGTGCCTTCTGTTTCCTGGAGCCAAGTGACACTGCCCCTCCCGGCCGGCCTGAGAGCACACGCCGCCCTCCCCCGGGGTGAGCTGCCTCGCGGGGGCTCCTGCGCTCAGCCAGGCCCTGGCCTGGCCCTTGCCCGGCTGCCCCTCTTTCCTCTGCCCCGCACTTGCCCTCGGTCTCCTTCCTGGCCTGTAGCTTTCAACACCCCGCACCCCCCACCCCCACCCCGCCACCTGTGGCCTCCATCGTGGAGACCGCACGGGAGTTGGGGGCCCCAGGGCACTGGGCTGTCCATCACCAGAGCAGGGCCCGGCAGGCTGTCTCTGGGTGGGGAGGGGCCCCCAAACCAAAGTCCTCTGGGTGGGGGCAGGGTTGGGCAGGCATTCTTGGGGCAGGGTGGGGGAGGGGCAAGAGTATTTTTTCTTCGTGTAACTATAAATTCAGATTCTATCCAGCACACCAACCCGCCTGTGTATAAAGATATAGAGGGAAAGATATAAGAACTAAATTTGCTAATGACATAGTTTTAACCCAAATGCTATTTATCTCTGAGCCGTCCTAGCCTGTCCTCTGTGCAGAGCAAGTTGATATCACTCCATCATTTTCTTCCCCACTTTCTTGGCTTCTGACCAAAAACCAAACCCTGCCCCATCCCCATGTGGGACCTGCAGTTGAAGAGAGGGAAGGGACCCCAAGCTGGGGAACCAGGGAACGCCCAGGATTCCTCAAGGCCAGAGCTGGGGATAGGAGGTACCTAGACTCTCAATTTGTACATTTTCCATTTTGGAATTTTGAGTTCCAATTGTTAAACTTAATTTCTCCCCAGTTTATATATATATATATATATATATATATATATTTTTTAGAGTTGAGTTTTTATTTATTATTAAAAACAAAAAAGCCCAGCCCTGCCGCTGCCCGGGTGTCCCCTGAGGTAGCGTCCTAAGTCGGGTGGACCCCGGGCCTGAAGTGGACGGCCCGGCCACAGACTCTCGCTCTGACGCATGGACTCAAGAGGTGACAACACTTTATGTGAATAAAATACATATGGACACTTGCGAGCCACGGTCAATGCCTGTCGCCTGGTGCTCTTCCAGTCGCTGCAGGGGTCTGGGTTGGGGGCTGGGCAGCCCACTACTGCAGCCAGCCTGTTGCTAGTATGGTCACCTAAGTGGACAGGCCAGGGGAGAGTGGGGGAATGGAGAGAGGGCGTAGGGGGTTGGGCTGTAAGCAAGGCTGTTTCCTGGGAATGGGGGAGAGGTGATGAGCCAGGGAGGGGGCACCAGCTGGCTGTTGGGCCCCCTCTGCGCCATCTGCGGCCACCTGGGGTATGGGTCGACCCCTAAGTCCCTGCCCGTTTGCGCAGGGAGTGGGCTTTTTGTGACGCGTCCTACCCCCAACCTGCCATAAGTTCTAGGCAGAGTGTTTATTCAGTAACTAGTTGAAAATGCAGACAGCCCAGCCAAACTGGCTTTCTCTGAGGGGTACCTCGCCCACTTGCCGGCGGCCAGCCTCCGACGGCGGAGGGACAGAGCCTGCATTCCTGCCGGCGCCCCGCTCCCAGCCCGTCCCCTCGCTCCTGAATCCGCCTGCACCGCCGTATCACATCCACACCGCGCTGTCTGGAGGTCTCGTCCGCTGTCCCTTCCCCAGCGGGACAGCAGGGCGGGCCGCTCCCGCCGTCCCGGAGTCCCGTGCGCCCAGGGAAAGCGAGCTCCGCGCCAGTCCCCGGAACCCGAAGTGTGAGGCCGCAGTCGCCGGGGGATGCGTGTTCACGCAGCGCCAGCCCCGCGTGACCGGCCCGCCGCTTCCGGCGCCGGGGGAAGATGTGGCAGGCATGCGGAGCGCTCCGGACCGGCGCCCTGGCCTTGGCGCGGTCCCCAGGGACCCGGGCCTGCGGTGGAGGCGGGGACATCTCCTACACGCAGGGCCAGGCCCCAGAGCCCCGGACGCGAGAGTATTTTTATTACGTGGATCATCAGGGCCAGGTGGGCCTGGAGCGGGGCCTGGGGGGGCGCACCTGTAAGAGAGGTGGGGTCGACGGGAGGGCCCCTGCGAGGGGCGGGGTCTCTGAGGTAAGTGAACGTGACTGCTGAGCTGGGCCAACGAGCTGGAGAGATTGGGGCGTCGGGCCTCAGCCCCAGAGGGGTCGGACCCCCAGCAGCCAACCTGCCACACGCAGCTGCAGCTGCGTCTCGCGCGCTCTGCATCCCCAGATCCTGCCCCTCCCTGCGGTCCCCGGCCCTCGGGGCCGCCCTGCCTGATTTGCAAGCCCTGGGGGGTGGAAGCAAGTCCGGGAGCCTCCGCGGAGGAGGTGGCACACTTAATTAGAAACTTGAGGAAGGGAGAGGTACGGGGAAAGCATGGCAGCTCAGGCACCTGCACGGCCCGGAGTGCGGCGTAGATGCGGGAATGTTGGTAGGGCCCCCGGTTTACTTTGCACTCGTCTCTCTGCACACGGTGTGTACACACGAGCAAGGGAAGCGGACACTAGCCTCAGCTCAGGCCTGCCCAATGCCAACCCCGCCCTGGGCCCGACTCTGTCTGGCTCCCAGCTGGGACTCATGGGCAATGGCCTGCCCCTCTGTCCACAGCTTTTCCTGGATGACTCCAAAATGAAGAACTTCATCACCTGCTTCAAAGGTACTGCTGCACCCTCTTACCCACCTTCCATCTCCCTTCAGCAAGGCCCTGATGGGCTCTGCTCCCCAGCCTCCCCACTGGCCCGCCCGAAGCAGAGGACTGGGCATCCTGCGCACAAGAGCCCTGCTGTCTAGACTGAGGCCAAAGTGGTGGGCCGACAAGCGGTGCCAGCCCTTGGCGTTGCCCAGGGCAAGCCGTTTGCCTGGGGGAGTGGGGCCCCGTGTAGACTGGCATGGTAAGCAACCGCGCCCCTTCACCTCCAGACCCACAGTTCCTGGTCGCCTTCTTCTCCCGCCTGAGACCCAACCGCAGCGGTCGCTACGAGGCCTCCTTCCCCTTCCTCTCGCCCTGCGGCAGGGAGCGCAATTTCCTGCGCTGCGAAGACCGACCCGTGGTCTTCACGCACCTGCTGGCCTCGGGCCCCGAGCCCCCGCGTCTCTCCTACTGCGGCGGCGGTGAGGCCCTGGCCGTGCCCTTCGAGCCGGCGCGTCTGCTGCCCCTGGCAGCCAATGGGCGCCTCTACCACCCGGCGCCGGAGCGTGCGGGCGGCGTGGGCCTGGTGCGCTCAGCCCTGGCCTTCGAGCTTAGCGCCTGCTTCGAGTATCCGCCCGGCGCGTCCGCGCTGCCCTCGCACGTGCGCTGGCAAGGCCGCCGCCTCGCCCTCACCATGGACCTGGCCCCGCTGCTGCTCACCCCGCGGCCCTGAGCCGCAGGTGCCCCTGGCCGCCCCCCAACCCCGCGGTCCCGCCCCCCTCCCCGCCAGGTCCCGGCCGCGCATCGCTGCGCACGCGCACCCAAAGAGCGCGCCGGCCGAATGCGCGTGCGCGGCACAGGTGCACCGCGGCCGCGGCCTGCTCGGCGCTGTCCGAGGTGCTGCCGCGTCCGTGGCCTCGACCGCGAGGAGGGGTGGGGTCGCGGGCCCTTCTGCTACCTCCCCACACCTCGGGCCTGGGGCGTCCTTTGGTTTGGCCATCGCTCACTGGGGCTGGCCGGGGAGGCCGGGCCGGAGGCGCGGGGGCTCCAGTGCGCGTGCGCGAGCGGCGCCCGCCCCTCCCCCGCCCGGCGCTGCTCGGTGGGCCGCGGCGCCGCGGGCTCGGCGGGGGAGCCGCGCCGCGGGAGTGTCAGGTGAGGGGGCGCCCGACCCGAGGTCAGCGGGCATGGGGGCGGGATCGGGGGCCGTTCCGGCTCTGTACCCCACGCGGACCGAGAAGGGGAGGAGACCTGGCAGGGACCACGCCCTGCCCTGAACTGGCCCAGAACAGACCCGCGCTGGAGGGGGTGCAGGTGACATCGTGGGGGTAATCGAGGCATGCGGCTCTGGCTTCGCCCTGAGCCCGAGGGGGTCGCAGGGCTTCCTCGCCCCTCCAGTCCCCGCACAGATGGGCGCCCTGGAGACGGTGACAGCCAACGCAGAATCCTGTGTGTGACGCCCCGCCCCCTGCCCAACCGGATTAGAGGGCTGTCCGCTGGGTAAAAGGCTTTCTGGGCTGGCCTCCTCTGCTCTTCCCGCCTGGGCCCTCATCCCTGCTCAGGCCGGCCCTTTTATTCCAGTCAGTGTCTAGGGGGTGTCCCTGTGAACCGCAGTGCCTTGAATCCTAAGGAGGAAGCCAAGAAGCTCCTCTACTTGAGGACTTGCCGCTGGAGGCTGGGTGGGCAAGCCCTGGGCCAGCGCTTTGGCTCAGGGAAATGGATCCCAGGAGCCCAGAGTATGCCTTCAGGTCCTTGGCGTTCACACATATCCGGAGACACCTGGGAACTGCCTCTGCCTGGGCCAGAGCTATATTCCATTAAAACTTCTGCTGTGCCTACCTCATTTCTAGTGACTTTAAATAATCATGTGAGTTACAAGTTAGAGGAAGATATGAACAGACACCAAGGCCACTTGGTCCCTTTCCACATGACTCCCTCTTGCTAGCAGGGAGACTTGGTAAACAGGCAGGTGTTCAGAGCGGGACCCTTTGAGGAAGGGCTGGAGGCTGGATAACAGCACACCCTCAGCTTTGCTATCCCTAGTTCCAGACTAGCTGGCTTCTCGGCCCAAGTCCCCACCTTTAAAACTGGACTTACTGTGCCTGGAACTAGTCCCAGGCCTCCCCATCTCTCTAGGATCACAGATTTATGCATCTGCATAAATCCCAAACACACTATATATTCCTTCACAGTTTAGGAGGTCATTGCTCCCACAGCCCACTTGGGAAACTGCCCTAGAATCCCAGTTGGTGGCCCAAGGCCCCTCTTTTACAACCCCGCTGTTCCAGAGCCCAAAAAAACAGAAGCAACTTGCTGGGAGCCAGCAGGGAGAACATAGGTCATTTCCTATTGTGTGCCACATCCCCCAATTCTCTAACAAGTTCCCTGAGAAATACCCCTAATTCTCTGCAAGCTGTTCCACCCACTCTCACCCCCAGGAGGGCAGGGGCAGGGGCTGGATAAAGCTGTGTTTGCATTTTCCTGTGGCTGGTGGCTCCCAGATCAGTTCTGCCCCTGTGACCCATCAAGATACATCAGGTGGATCCCAGGGTCGGGGAACACAGCATGAATTCTAGGGAGAAAAGGACTAGACAATGCTGGGTCAGGGTCGGGCGAAGACAAGGACACTGGCAGTGTGGGGCCTTGGGCCTTGTGTTGGGGGCACAAGACTTCTGTTATGGACTCGGCTTTTGGAGGTCTCACAGAGAGGAGTCCATGTGGACAAGGGGAGATGTCTTCCCAGAGCCTGTTCTTCCCCTTCTAGCCTGTGCTTGGGCGCTGGGCTTCACCACCTCACCTTGCACTAGCCTCTTGCACCTTAGATTCAAGGAGTGGCCAGTTGCTAGAATGTAGAAGGAAGCCGGATCCAGACGTCCACACGCACGAGCAGGAAGCCCCTTACAGTGCCAGACGGAGATAGATGGGAAGAGAAGAGAGCTCGGGCAGGGTTGACTCTCCCCACATGGCCTGTGTAGTAAGACTAAGAACGGTGGAAATTCCAAACTGAAACCTGATGCCCCAGATCTTCATGACTGTTTTTATAAAGGAGGGAAACCAACTTTTTTTTTTGTTTAATCGGTTGCTTGCACTGATTTATAACTTTTCAGAAACTAGACACAAGGTGTGGGCCTCCATCACGTCCTTCTCTGGCTCTCAGGTGTTAGGGAGAGGCCTGCCAACCTGTGTTTCAGGAGGCACATCACATCCGGGTGGACTGTAAGAAGCCCGTCGGGAGGCCGCGGCTTCGTGGCCCGCGGCCAGTCCCGCGGGAGATGGCCCCGGGCGCGCCCACGCTGCTGCTGCTGTGGCTGCTGCGGTTCCCCGACTTCCCGGCCCGCGCCGCCGGCTGCCCGGCCGCTTGCCGCTGCTACAGCGTCACGGTGGAGTGCGGCGCCCTGCGGCTGCGCGTCGTCCCGCCCGGAATTCCACCCGGGACGCAGGTGGGCACCGCGTGGGGCCGCTGGGCCGCGGAGCAGAGGCGCCCGCGACACGGAGGGAGGGCTGTGTGAGCGTCCCGTGGGTGCTGGAGCGCCCCAGGGAAGAGGGAGACTCCCTCAGCGGCGTGAACCCCCTCCTTCCCTCCCTCCGTCCGGCCCGCAGACGCTGTTCCTGCAGGACAACAGCATCGCGCGCCTGGAACCGGGCGTATTGGCGCCTCTCGCAGCCCTGCGCCGGCTCTACGTGCACAATAACAGCCTGCGCGCCCTGGAGCCAGGCGCCTTCCGCGCGCAGTCGCGCCTGCTGGAGCTAGCGCTCACCGGCAACCGGCTACGCGGCTTGCGAGTTGGCGCTTTCGCCGGCCTGGCCCAGCTCCGTGCACTCTACCTGGCCGGCAACCAGCTAGTGCAGCTGCTGGATTTCACCTTCCTGCACCTACCGGTGAGCGGCTTAGGTGGGCAAGGGCAAGGGGTAGTGAAAGGGAGAAAAGTCAACCCAGTCTAGCCTGCTAGGAAGGGATCCTGGGTCCCAGGGCCCCTTTCCCTGATGATCTGCTGTCCTTCCTTCAGCGACTGCAGGAGCTGCACCTGCAGGAAAACAGCATTGAGCTGCTGGAGGACCAGGCCCTGGCCGGGCTCTCCTCATTGGCACTGCTGGACCTCAGCAGGAATCAACTGGGCACCATCAGCCGTGAGGCCCTACAGCCCCTGGCCAGCCTGCAGGTCCTGCGCCTCACAGGTACCTCCTTCCCCGGGGGAAGGGATCTCATGCGAAGGTTTATTCCCTGGCCACAGGGGTGGCAGTAGGAAACAGGCGCAGGTGTGGAGTGGACTTTGATTTCAGTGGCTCTGAACTGCAGACCATCCAGGAGCACTCTGGAGGGTCATGCCACCACCTGCACCATGGTAGAAGTCTGATAGGAATGGGGGTGCTGGAAGGGACACAGCTCAGGGAACTTGCCTAATGAAGACAGAAAAGGTAGAAACCCTTTGGAAGAGTTGAGGGGCTTGCACTTGCACACTTAGGGGCTTCCAGGCAGAAACTGGAAGGATGAAACTAGGGCTGGCATTCCAGGACACAGCACCTGAAGACAAGGCTGACAGGACCTGCAAGGTCTCGGTGCTATAGGATGTCTATGTGGACACCAAGGTTCCCCCAAAATAATGGGACTTGTTGCAGAGACTTCAGAGGAGTAGAGGCTTTCTTAGAAATTAGGGACCTGGAACATGCATCACAGAACTGAAGGGGGAGGGAAGAGCCTGCCCACACTCCAAGGAGCTTGGGGTCAGAGAAGAGGCTGCAGGGGCGCCCCGGGGGAGGTAGGAAGGGGGCTCCTGTTCTGGCCAACCACCCCTGAGCTACCAACCCACCACTGCTCTGCCCACAGAGAACCCATGGCGCTGTGACTGTGCCCTGCATTGGCTGGGCGCATGGATCAAGGAGGGCGGCCAGCGGCTGCTCAGCTCCAGGGACAGGAAGATAATGTGTGCAGAGCCCCCGCGCCTGGCACTTCAAAGTCTCCTGGACGTATCCGGCAGTAGCCTCATCTGCATCCCGCCCTCTGTACACGTGGAGCCGCTGGAGGTGACAGCCAACTTAGGGGACGACCTGCGGGTTGCCTGCCAAGCTTCCGGCTACCCGCAGCCCCTGGTGACCTGGAGAAAGGTGGCCCAGCCTCGCGAAGGGCAGCCACGGGCTCAGGTCCAGCCAGACGGCGGGGCGCCGCGCCCAGCCGGGCCCGGCGCCTCTGACACGGGCAGCGGCATGCTCTTCCTCACCAACATCACCCTGGCCCACGCGGGCAAGTACGAGTGCGAGGCCTCCAACGCCGGCGGCGCCGTCCGCGTGCCCTTCCAGCTCCTGGTCAACCTGTCCCGGCAGCAGCAGCTGCCGCTGGCGCCCCCGCCGCCCCCGCACGCCGGCCCCGCCAGCCACGAGCCCCTGCAGGAGGCGGGCAGCATGGCCTTCCGCGCCCTGGGCCTGGCCACGCAGACGGCCATCGCAGCCGCCATCGCGCTCCTCGCGCTCACGGCGCTGCTGCTGGCGACCCTGATCTGCCGCCGGCGGCGCAAGCGGAAAAAGGCGCCGGGGCCGCCGGGGGAGGGCGCGCTGTTCGTCAACGACTACTCGGACGGGCCCTGCACCTTCGCGCAGCTCGAGGAGCTCCGCGACGAGCGAGGCCACGAGATGTTCGTCATCGACCGCTCCAAGCCGCTCTTCGCCGAGGGCCCGACGGAGGCGGCCGCCGGGGCGGCCGCCGGGCCGGGGCAGGGCCTCCCGCTGCAGCCGCCCGCGGCCTATGAAATTCACTGCTGAGCGGGGCCCAGAGGGAGGGGCGGGCGCGTGCGGATGACGTGGCCTCGCGGACTGACCGGCCCGCGGGCTCGCCCGCGCATGCTCCAGCGCAGTCAGTAAAGGCTAGAAGCTGCGCGGTGTGCGGCGAGCCGTGTGTGGGGTCTGGGGCCCCGAGGGCGCGGCGCAGGCACCTGCGGACCCCCAGCTCTGCAGGCGGAAGTCCTAACGTGCGAACGGACGGTGGCCAAGGAGGCCCCCCACGCCCCTACCGAGGCCCTCCAGAAAAGACCCCTCCCAGGACCACCGTCACTTCTAGCTCCGCAGGGGCTGACACCGGCTCGCCAGCCTGCTGGAGGACCTGGGGCGTCCCCGAGGCGGGAGGGGCGACGGGCCGTGGAGGCGCCCAGACTGGCTGTGAGGCGGGTGGGACGCCCAGGGAAGGGGAGGCGGGCAGCGGACTGGAAAACAGCTGTTAGTTACCCAGCGGCCAGGTTGGGGGTGACAGCAGAGCCAGAGACAAGCCATTCTGACCAGTTAGGACAGAAAAAACCACCACAAATTTAAGTTCCAAACACACTGCACGTTTGTACCTTAATGACACCTTCTGGCTCCAAAGCCCAGCCAGGTGGTCTCCTGGGTGCCAGGGTAGGGAGACCCAGCTCTCCTCGAAGCAGGTCCCTGTTCCAACTTCAACCCCAGGGCAGTCTGCTCTTGGGAAGGGCCTAGAGAGAACACCCTCTCTCAGCTCACAGCTGGGACCCCACAAACATTCCAGAGAAAGGACCACAACACCAGAGGGTAGCCAAGTGCACCCAAACCAAACCTGGCCGTGCAGGCCTGGAATCCAGCCCTGAAGCCCAAGCCAGTCAGGGGAATGGGTACAGGGCAAACTGCGCATGGTGCTGCACAAAGCATAGGAAGGCTCAAAATGCCCAGGAGCAAGGAAACCCGAGACCAGTGCATCTGTGTCAGGCCTCCAACAGGGCCCCGTGAAGGCTCTGTCTACCTAAGGCAGGGAGGGATCTCCATCAGCCCTGAACACCAGGACAGCCCGGAGGTCATAGGCTGAAGTAGTCTGCAGCCAGGCGCCCATAAATGTCTGTGGTCCACAGCACATGAGCACGGCCTGAGGCCAGGAGCAGCTGGTGCAGCTCGGCCTCCACACGAGCAAACTTCTCCTCGTTGATGGAAGCCTCCAGCAGAACAGAAGCAGGCGGTGGCCAGGGCAGGCCTTCGTAACAGTCCACAGGGAAGGGGTGCACCACTGTGCGTAGCTCAGCCTGCACCACTGAATCCCGGAGGAGCTCCTTGAGGCCCGCCATGGACAGCGGGTTGCCATAGAGGCCGAGGTAGCGGAGGCTGGTGCAGCGCGTCAGCACAGGGAGCGTGGCCAGCAGCTGGGTATCGGCAAGCTGGCACTCAGTCAGCTCCAGGTGCAGCAGTGTGGCCGCAGCCGCCCGCAGCAGACCCTGGAAAGGCTCTAGTTGGCTGCCGGACAGGTCATTGCCACTAAGGTCCAACTTCTTGAGATGGACAGCATGGGGGCTCCGTGCCAGAAAGCGCAGATCCTCGGGCAGCAGGGCACAGAAGGCCAGCTCCAGGCTCTCCAGGGGGCTCTGCAGGGTGCTATAGGGGACACAGGAGGTCACAAACAGGCCGGACCAGGGGAGGGTCTCGGGAGAGGAGGAAGGGCAGGGCAGTAGTGGGGCTTGCTCACCTGAGCAGCTGGTCCAACCGTCCCGAGAGGAGAGAGGAGCCCATGCTGAGCTCCCGCAGACAAGTGAAGCGGCCCATCTGGGCCAGGAAGTAACGAAAGTTGTCCTCACCATCCACAGAAGGCTGCCTGGAGTCCCCGTGCACATAGTGCAGCCGCAGGCTGGCCAGGTGCTGGAAGCGGGCCACATGTGGGATGATAACAGACAGGCCACGCAGACCCAAGTTGTTAAAGCGCAGGTCCACACGGCGCAAGCAGCCCGCATCCAGCAGCTGCAGCAAAGCCACAGTGTTGCGCATGGGCAGGTCCTCAGCCCGCAGGTCCCGGCAGCAGAGCCGCAGGGGACTGCCTACGCTGCTTCGCAGTGCCTCCCGCAGAAACGCATACGAGGCCCGGTTCACCCGCAGGTCCACACGAACCTCCACAGGAACGGGGGCCAGCCCAGGCTCCGCAGGCCCACCCTGCTGCTGTGCTATGCAGGTGCGGGCCACCGCCGCTGTGCAGTCCCACATGCTCATGGTGCCAGGGTCCTGCTCCACGCCATCGTCCAGGAGGCCTGTCATATCCAGCACTCGCAGGGCATGCTTCCTGGGAGCACGGGTAGGCTGAAGCAGGAGACAAGGGAGCAGAGCCCACACCCACTCCCAGCCATCTTGGGACAGGAGCAACATGCCTGTTCCTGCACTGAGCCCTTGCAGTCGCCTGGAACCTCACAGGGGACACTCTCTGCACCACCACCCCCCACCCCAGGCCCTCGGGGCCCTCGGGTGAGCCCATACCTGCAGAGAGGCTGTGTGCCAGCCTCTGTCTCTGGGGTGTGGAGCCGGGCCGTCAGCCCCAGGATCACAGCCTGCATGCTCTCTGTGCTGGGGCGCTCTTGCAGCAAGGCCCGGCTGCAGTGGGCACATTCCTGCAACAGCTGCTGGAAGCTGAGCAGTGGGAAGGGCCACGTGTGCACCAGCTCTCGAAGCACAACAGTCTTCTTGTCCATGAAGGCCACCTTGAACAGCAGGGGGAAGAGCTCTCGAGGCAGCAGGGGCAGGGCCTGGCAGGCAGCTGGCTGGCACTGGAGCACCTGCCGTGTGCTCAGGAACACAAGCGTGTGCATGGCGCTGGGCCAGGCAAGAAGCCACCTGCAGGGAAGGGCCCTTCAGCGGGGAGGACAGACCCCAGGCCACCACCGGCCATAGCCTCCTCCATCACTGGTAGTTAGCAAGCCCAGCATGACACTTGGCACAGCGCTGACACTCAGTGGAGGACCGTGGCACCAAAGAGCAAGTGCTAAGTGCCTAGCACTGGGCTAAGTGGGAACAGGGACAAGACCACCCCCCACTTCCCTCCCTCCAGAAGCATGGGGCCTCTTTAGGGAAATGTAGCCATCAAACGGTACATAAATAGCACAGCATCAGACGTGACCCGCTTGCCCAGATGTGCTTTTGACGGCTACTGCTCTGCAGGACCTCCCCCCCACACACCTGTACTTGAGGCCTCCCAAATTACAAAGCTGTTTATCAAGAGACCTTCTCTTCTTCAAAAGCAGAATAGAGCTCAGGCCCTTCCCCCACACACATACAAGCACCAGAGGAGGTAGGACACTCCTAGGGGGCTAGAAGCCGCATCACAATCCGCCTTCCCACCCTCCTCCAGCTCTTGCGGGTGGTCCTTGGACAGGAAGTGGAAGCACTGATGCAGCTTAATAAATACCAGCAAAGATAAAAAGGGCTGGGACCCAGGGAACCTTGAGTCCAGACAGGCCTGACCCTCAGGTCTTAACTACTCCCGTCCAGGAGTACTGCCAAGCACGGAGGTCCCTGCAGATTCACAGAAAGACAGAAAGCAAACCTCACCCGCCAAGGTCCTTGCCACCTGTCCAAACGTCCTCTTTTCCCCTAGAGAGAACCGCAGTGAGAGACCAACTCTCAAACCCATGGGATCCGGTAGGCCCCAGGCCAGGAACTGCTCAGGTGGACAGAGTCCGCAGTAGAACGGGCATCCAAGCTAACAAGGGGCTTACAGTAAATGCCTGAGACTATGAAGTCCTTGGACATCAGCTCTACTATTGACTTCAGCAGCAGCAACAATCAGTGGACTTACTTGGGGCCACACACCTCATCCTCAAAACTGCTTCCCAGTCATACCCCTGGAAACAGATTAGAAAACTAAGATCTAAGCCTTGCCAGGCCAAGGTCACAGCCTGGGCGATGAGCTCGGGGAAGGGGGAGCAGTCTGGCCCCAGGAACCCTGCTCTTCCGGACCTCATGCACAACGTAAGTCCTTAGGGCACTGGTTCTTGAGAAGCCCCGAACGCCAACCCTCGGCCTTGCTCTGCCTGGAGACAAATCTCGCGAGGGCGATTCATACCTCGCTGTGACAGGACAGACCAACCCAGCACCTGTCACGAGAGAAAACGAAAGCAGCCAGTGTGGTCACCGTGGGAGGAGCCTCTGGGCAGTGGCCGCCGCCCCCTCCCGCCGGCGCGCGGCTCCCGGCGTTTCCCCGAAGACGCCCCCGCCCGGCTCCTCCCCGCCTCGAGCCGCGGGAGACCCTCAATGCGACGCCCTCCGCCTCCCGGACGTGATGTGCCCCTCGAAGCCGGTGCGTCGTCCCCCCGGGGCCCGAGGTCGCTCTGCCCGACGCAGGGCTCCAGGTCCTTCCCCCACCCCGCGGACGAACCGCCCGGTTCCCGCTCCCGCCTCCCGGGCGGCGGCGCCCCAAGCGCCCGTGCCTGCTTCGTGCGGCCAGGCAGGGCCAGGGGCGCACGCCGCCCCGCTGCATCTCCGGCCGGCGGCCCGCGCTCACCAGCCCCACAGCCGCTGCCACCGCCACCGGCCCCGCCTCACCGCCCGCGGCGCCCCGCCCGGCGCCTCCGCGCGCCGCGATGACGTAGACGCCACCCATTGGCCGCCCCACTAGAGCCCCACTGATTGGCTGTCCTGCTGGCGGCTGCCGAGCCGCCCCGCCTCCGACCCTGCCGTGTGCCCCCATTGGCCGGCAGCCGGCGTCGCCCTCGCGGCGGGAGATTCACGGGGCCCGGAACCCCGGGCCAGCGCCATGGAGCGGCTGCGGGACGTGCGGGAGCGGCTGCAGGATTGGGAGCGCGCGTTCCGGAGGCGGTGCGGGCGGCGGCCGGGCCAGGTGCGGGCTGCCCGGGGGCGGGGGGCTGAGGGTTCGGCCGCGGGCTGACGCGTTCCCTCCGCAGGAGGACGTGGAGGCGGCGCCGGAGGAGACCCGCGGTGAGCGCGCGGACGTGGGGCGGAAGGAGGGACGCGCGGGGAAGGAGCCCGGCGGCCCCCGATGACCCTTGATCCCACCCCCAGCGCTCTACCGGGAGTATCGCGCCCTGAAGGGGGCCCTGGGCCGGGCCGGCGGCATCGGACCTCGCAGCCCCAAGCAGTCGCTTCTCGCGACGGCGGAGGAGGTACCCAGGCCTGGACGTCCTGGCCTGCGGGTCAGGCTCCTGTATGGCAGAGCCAGGAGGAGTCGTGATCAGGCCTCTGTGGGGCACAGAACGTCGGGGGAGGACCGGACCTGGGGGGGGGCTGGGGGGCTGGAGGAGGGCTCGGACCTCCACCCTCTCTTCCTGCAGAGGCCGGAGCCCAGCTGCTGGGGGCCGCACTTGAATCGAGCTGCGACCCAGAGTCCACATTCTAGTCTTTCTGGGCCAAGTCCTGTGGGGTCTGTGCCAGACTACGGGAAGAGGCTTAAGACCAACCTAAAGGCCACCCTGCAGGTGAGAGTTACCGGTAGGCCAAGCAGGCAGTGTGTCTGTCCTGGATGCAGAGCTAGTGTCCGCCCAGGAACAGAGTCACCGTATAGCCTCTCTCGTCAATCCTTCACGCTTACGCCACTGTACCTATGTGGTCATCCGTGCTCTTCTAGCATTAATCAGGGTAAGATTCCTGAGACGGGTTCAGAGCCAACCTCAGGCTTCTCACCTTGCCTGGGGCTTCAGGGTGGACGTTCTGGCAGGTTTCAGAGTCTGTAGCAGCCCAGACACCTGAGTTCCTGCTTCCCGGTCTGTCTTCCCTCTCTCAGGCTGGGCCAGCCCTGGGCCGCATACCCCGGCCTCCACGAAGACCCTCCTCCAAGACGCCCTCCCCGGGGCCACCAGGTGCAGGGGCTGCCCCCATCTCTCCAGAAGAAGTCAGTGAGGTGCCCCTGCAGCCTCGTGGGCCCCGGCTGAGGCCAGGCCGCCTCCAGCAGCTACGGGCATCCCTGAGTCTACGACTGAGCTCCCTAGATCCTGACTGGCTACAGAGATGTCACAGCGGGGCCCCAGATTTCCTGGGGGCTGCCCAGGCCTGCCAGCCTAACCTGGGCGTAGAGGGGTCACAGCCTTTGACTTCAGGTGTGCCATCAGTCCTTGGTCACAACACTGGCCCTGAGACTCGAGCCCTACAGACGGGTGGAGTTACAGGGAGCCCCCAACCCGGCAACAGTCGAGGCAAGAAGTGGAGATGCGGGAGGGAACCAGAAGGGAACCCTGCACAGGCCCAGCAGGACAGTGGCCAAGCAGGACCTCTGCCTGAAGAAGCTGGCGCTGCGGGACATGCAGAAGACGGTCCAGGAGAACCCCTGTGGGTACAGCCCGCCAGTGGCCCCACAGCCCCCAGGTACAGAGCTTCAGCCTCCCGGTAGGGTCGCCTTGAGATGAGCCAGGGTGGGGCAGGCTTTGGGCATGGCCTGCTTGTACATCCTTTCTAGACCAGCTAACCAAAGCGGAGGTAATTACGTACGACTGAACATGAAGCAGAAACGCTACGTGCGGGGCCCAGCGCTCCGTGGCAGGCTGCTCCGCAAGCAGGTGAGGTGGCAGCAGGCACTCCCTTCATCCCTACCACTTTTTGCCTCGTGACCTTCTTTTGCGGCCCCCAGATGTGGAAGCAGAAGTGGCAGAAGAAAGGGGAGCATTTTGGAGGTGGTCAGCCCAGAGCCACAGTCAGGAACTCTTGCTTCCGGTGTGGGCAGCTAGGCCGCTCGTCATCCCAGTGCCCCCAACCAGGTGAAACTTCTACTGTGGGTGATGGGTTCCTAATACTGTTCAGAGCACACTTGTACTCTCGGGGGGAGTGGGGGGAAGCACATCTAGCTCGAACAAAAGAACCTAGCAGCTCCTTATACCTGACGCAGAGCCTACTCCGGGCCCCCGGAAGAGCAGTAAGAACGAAGAGGACGTGCAGACCCAGCTCACCTTGGAGGAAGTAGTCCAGAGGACAGGCACTGCCAGTTCTCAGCTCCCTGGTGAATGAAGGGACAGAGGGCAGGCTGCAGCTACCTGTTTTTGCTGGGAAGATCCCAGTCTAGTCTTGAGTCCCACACCACCTTTTTGTGTCCGTTTCTAGTAAGTGAGAAAGATACAGAGCCCACTGGGCCTGAGCTGTTGGTGACCATGGAGCGGTCTGTGCCCCAGGCGCACTGCCCACCCCCCTGTGTGCCACCACTCTACCCACCAGGGCCCTCGGGGCAGGTGGCAGGTGAGCAGAAGCCTACCAGGCCAGAGCCTTTACTGGGAGATGGGGGCGACTTGGGGCCATGCTGACCAACACCCGTGTCCACAGAGACACCAGCTGAGGTGTTCCAGGCCCTAGAGCAGCTGGGGCACCGAGCCTTCCGCCCCGGGCAGGAGCGTGTAGTCATGCGGATCCTTTCTGGTGAGCTTGGCTGCCGGGGAGACGAGGGAGGGCCAAGGCCTGGCCACGGACTGGCACTATTGACCCTTGCTCCCACCAGGCATGTCCACGCTGCTGGTGTTGCCCACAGGTGCTGGCAAGTCCCTTTGCTACCAGCTCCCTGCGCTGCTTTACGCCCGGCGGAGCCCCTGCCTCACGCTGGTCATCTCTCCCCTCCTGTCTCTCATGGACGACCAGGTACACTGACAGGAACCTGGGGCCCAGGCAGAAGGCAGGAACCAGTGCCTGTGGGTCCTCTGGCTCTTTTGGGCTGCTGCCTGTTACCTAATCAGAGCTGTAAAGAGCTCAGCTGTTCTCACCCCATCGGCTGTGTCGACAACTCCAGGCCTCATAGTGGCCCGAGGACAGCAGGGACGTGGCAGCTGGCCAGACATGGGTCGACCCCTAGGAGGAGCGGCGCTGGGGAGGGGGTACATCCCCAGTAGGGCCTGTCTGTTCCCGGCGCTTCTGAGCCAAGGCTCTGGGTGGCTCTGAATCCTTAGTCCTAGGCTCCACAGTCTGGGCTCGTTCTCCCTAGAGAGCCCGAGGCAGAGATGGTGGTCGCAATCAGGCTGAGCAGCTGAGAGCCGCTGGAGGGAGGGCCAGGGAAGGGTGGCCTGTAACTGGTCGTCCTCCTGGACCTGCAGGTGTCTGGCCTGCCCCCGTGCCTGAAGGCAGTGTGCATCCATTCAGGCATGACCAGGAAGCAGCGGGAGTCTGCCTTGAAGAAGGTGAGGGGCCTTACGTGGCAAGACGGGCAGGGGGGCAGACGGGCCCCTGGATGATGCTCCTGACCTTGCATCCTCAGGTTCAGGCGGCCCAGGTGCATGTGCTGATGCTGTCACCCGAGGCGCTGGTTGGGGCTGGGGCAGGGACCCCTGGCCGCCTCCCTCAGCTGCCTCCGGTCGCCTTTGCCTGTGTCGATGAGGCCCACTGCCTTTCCCAGTGGTCCCACAACTTCCGGCCCTGCTACTTGCGCGTCTGCAAGGTGAGCCTTATTCGGGTACGAGCAAGCAGGCCGGGGGGGCGGCTTGGGCATCTTCACCAGCTCCGCTCCCACACAGGTGCTGCGGGAACACATGGGCGTGCGCTGCTTCCTGGGCCTCACGGCCACGGCCACACGCAGCACCTCGAGGGATGTGGCCCGGCATCTAGGCGTGGCCGAGGAGCTTGTCCTCAGAGGGCCGGTCACCATCCCCACCAACCTGCACCTCTCTGTGTCCATGGACAGGGACCCAGACCAGGTAGGTGTGCACACCTGGGCCAGGGCAGAGGCACGGCCTCCGACAGACCCCACTGACCACCGTCACCCACCAGGCTTTGGTGACACTGCTGCGGAGTGATCGTTTCCGTGCTCTGAGCTCCGTCATCGTGTACTGCAACAGACGCGAGGACACAGAGCGTGTCGCCGCCCTGCTCCGCACCTGCCTGCCTGAGGCCCGGGACCTGGGGCCCCAAGGTGAGGTCAGCGGGGTCGTGCCCCGCGGGAGCTGCCTCAGGAACACAGTCTACCCAACCATCTGTGTCTTCCCCGCAGGCCGGGCCCCCAAGGCTGTAGCCGAAGCCTACCACGCCGGCATGTGTGGCCGGGAGCGGCGGCGGGTGCAGCAGGCCTTCATGGACGGCCAGCTGCGGGTGGTGGTGGCCACGGTGGCCTTCGGGATGGGGCTGGACCGGCCAGACGTGCGGGCCGTGCTGCACCTGGGGCTGCCCGCGAGCTTCGAGAGCTACGTGCAGGCTGTGGGCCGGGCCGGGCGTGACGGCCAGCCGGCGCACTGCCACCTCTTCCTACAAGCCCAGGTTCTTCCCTGCCCCGCTCGAGCCCACCCCTCCCCCCACCACACACACCCCAGCCGCTCCTTCACGGCCGCCGTGTCGCAGGGCCAGGACCTGCGGGAGCTGCGGAGACACGTGCATGCCGACGCCACCGACTTTCTCGCCGTGAAGAAACTGGTCCAGTGCTCGTTCCCACCCTGTACCTGCACCAGTGCCCACGCCCAGCGGCCCCCAGAGCAGGACGGAGCCGAGAGCCAGGACAGGCCCGTGGCCACGTCCCTGAGGGAGGCCGAGCAACCCAACATCGAGTGCACAGCCCGGTGCCCGGGCCACGAGCGGGCGCTCCCAGTGCAGCCGTTGGTGCAGGCCCTGGACATGCCTGAGGAGGGTGAGGAACTGGGGGCGGCGGTGGGCACGTCCCCACATGCCCACGTCCCCACGTCGCCTAAGCCCGGCCCTGCCCCCCAGCCATCGAGACCCTGCTGTGCTACCTGGAGCTCCACCCACGGCGTTGGCTGGAACTGCTGACGCCCACCTGCGCCCGCTGTCGCCTGCACTGCCCTGGGGGCCCCCCCCAGCTCCAGGCCCTGGCCCACAGGTGAGCACACGTCCCGGCCCGGGGGGCGGCCAGGGACGCGGAGCCAGGACTGCTCATCCCGTGTCCCTTCCGCTGGTGCAGGTGTCCCCTCCTGGCTGTGTGTCTGGCCCAGCAGCCACCGCAGAACACAGGAGGGGGAAGCTGTTCCGTCGAGGTCGACGTGCTGCAGCTGGCCGGCTCAGCGGGCTGGAAGCTGGCCTCTGTAGAGCACGCTCTCCGCCAGCTGCAGTGGGAGCCAGAGCCCGCGACAGGTGCGCCCTGCCCCCAGCCCCGCTCGGCCGCAGCCCTGCTTGCCGCCCGCTCGCCCGTGCGTGACAAGCTCTCTGGCAGGTGCACCTCGGGGCACGGGGGTGCTGGTGGAGTTCCGGGAGCTTGTCTTCTGTCTGCGCAGTCCTGGAGACCTGACGGCCCATGAGCGGGACCAGATCTGTGACTTCCTGTACCGCCAAGTACAAGCCCGAGAGCAGGAGGCTCTGGCCCGCCTGCGCCACACCTTCCAGGCCTTTCACAGGTGCAGGAGGGGTGGGCGGGGCCTGGGCCACCTGCACCCCTCCCCTCAGGTGAGCAGCGCTGACAGATCACTGTCACCCCAGCGTCGCCTTCCCCAGCTGCGGGCCCTGCTTGGAGCAGCCTGATGAGGAGCGCAGCGCGAGGCTCAAGGCCCTGCTCAGCTGCTACTTCGAGGAAGAGGGTTCAGGGAGCATAGAAGAGCAGCGGGGCCCAGAGCCAGGACAGGCTGGGGTGAGTGCTAGCCCCCCCGGCCTGCAGTGAGGTCAGGCTGCAGGGCGCACACACGCTCACACTCCACGACGTGCCCGCCACCCACAGATCCAGGACTGGGAGGACCAGATTCGCCAGGACGTCCGCCACCTTCTGTCCTCATGGCCAGACCAGCAGTTCTCGGGCAGGGCTGTGGCCCGTATCTTCCACGGCATCGGTGAGGGCCTAGGAGGCTGGGCTCTGACAACGGGCGGGGGCCGGGCCTGGCCCAGAGTCCTCAGGGCCCATGTGTCCCATTCCACCCCAGGAAGCCCCTGCTACCCAGCGCAGGTGTATGGGCGGGACCGGCGCTTCTGGAGAAGATACCTGCATCTGAGCTTCCCTGCCCTGATGCGCTTAGCCACAGAGGAGATCCTGCGGTGGGGCCACTGACCACCCTGCCGTGGGCGGGCCCTGCTCCCCCACATCACGGACAGGCATGCACAGGGGGCCGCGTGGCCACAGTACGGAGGGAATCAGGTGTGGCATTGCGTCAGGGAAAAGGGACATCGATGGCCATGACGACTGACTACCCTGGGCACGGCCCACCACCGGAAATGTGGGGGCAAGGAAGCCCCCAAATGCAGAATAAAAAATGCTCAAGTCACTCTTAGGGGCCTTCTTTTCTGAGGACAGCCTTGCCCATCACACACCCCAAACAGCCAGGCCACAGGCACGCTCAGCTTTATTAGGCAGGCCAGCCACCCAGCTCAGGCCAGGGTGCTGGGCGCCAGGCTCAGATACAGAATGGGCATGCCTGAGAGAGCAAGGAAGAGGGCAAAGCAGAGATGCGGCCCCAGGCTGTCAGCCAGGGCCCCGGCCAGCGTGCCCAGGAACAGCTTGCCCAGCAGCTCCAGAGTGGCCAGGAGGCTGTAGTGTGTGGCCTGCAGGGGCGAGGTGGGACGAGGTGTGAGCTCAGGTGAGGGCCTGCTTGGATCCCAGCCCTGCAGCCCCCCGGATATCCCAGCCGCACCCTCTTACCTGCAGGGCACTGGGCGCCAACCGGCTACAGTGCATCATCAGGGTGAACGTGGTGGTTGTGACCAGGCCCCCCAGGAAGTGCTGCACGCACAGGCTCAGCAAGGCTGCCCCTGGGAGGGCCGAGGTCAGCGGGGCCCAGGACACTGGACTCCTCCCCTCCCGTGGCCAGCCCCTCACCTCTCAGGACTGTACTGGAGCCCAGCCTGACCCCTGGGGTGTCCAGGTGGAAGAGCAGGGTGGTCTGGCAGGCCAGACCCCCGAGCCGGAACCCAAGCACCGACCTCAGCAGGGGCACTGGTTGCCTGAGGTGGGGAGAGGGGGCGGGTCAGGGAGGGTGGCGCGGGTCAGGTGGCAGCAGGGGGGTGGAGCAGGCGGGGAGGGCTCACCTGTGCCTGGCCAGCAGGGCCCCGCCCAGGGATGAGCCTACAATGGAGCAGAGCACAGCGCCCACGCCGTTCCACAGCCCCAGCTCTGGCGTGGAGATGCCGTGGTCCAGCAGGAGCAGCGGAAACAAGCTGCTGGCACCCTGCTCACCTGTGGGGAGAATGTGAGCAGGGGCTCCCGCCTCCCTTCAGCTGGGGCTTCAGGTGCACTCCCCTAGCCAGGCCCCTGCCCTGCCTCCGTCCTGGGGCATCAGCCAAGCTTAGGTCAGCATGAAGCAGCGTCAGAGACCCGAGGGGGTGCGGCTGGAGCTCACGGAAGCCGTGCAGCTAGAGCTGGAGAAGCTGCAGAGCCAGCCTGGGCTCCAGCCTGCAGTTAATCCCCCAGAAGGTGGCCACAAAACGGGCTCCAGGGCCCCAGGCTCCCACCCCTGCTGTTGCCTGCTCACGGCCTCGCTTACCCAACTTGTAAGTGAGCACAAAGCCTGCTGTCCACAGAGTACCGGGCATGGCCAGCAGGTGCTGCAGAAGGCACAGGCTGCGGAGGGCGGGTTCCGACGGCCCAGACGAGGGCGGCTGTTGCAGGGCCGGCGCCGCCCAGACGAGGGCAGCAGCCAACCAATAGGTAGCCGCCAGGAGCAGGAAGAGCCCGGGCCAGGAGAGGGTAGGCACAAGGGCCAGCAGGCCCCCTCCCGCCAGCACTGCCCCCAGCTTGTAAGCGACCACCTGCACTGTGTTACCAGGCCCTAGCTCAGCTGGCTCCAGGAGCTGGACGGCCAGCGTGTCCAGGGCCACATCCTGCACAGCAGCACCCAGGTTCAACAACAGAAGCAGCCCCACCACACGGACCTGCAGGCCCGCCGGGCCGGCTTCCGCGGGAGGCGAGGCTGCAAGCAGCCCGCACACCAGGCCCAGAGCAGCCGTGCTGAGCATCAGCCAGGCCCTCAGGGAGCCCCGCGTGTCCACCAGCGGGGCCCACACGAGTTTAAACAGCCAGGGCAGGTACAGCACCTTGGCCAGGCCCACGCGCGTCAGGGAGAGGCCACGCGCCCGCAGCAGCACAGGCAGCAGGCCAGACTGCAGCCCATAGGGCAGGCCTTGCACCAGGTAGAGGCCGGCCAGCGGCAGCAGCTTCCCGTGCATGGCCGGGACGCGGGGCGCCCGGGGGCTAGCGCTGGGGGGCGGGGATCCGGCCCGTGACCGGGCGGGGACGGGGGCTGCGTTCAAGGCCGGACCAGAGCCTGGAGCCGGGCGGAGCGGTTCCGGACGGTGTTTGGTCCGGTCAGGATGAGGTCAGGGGCCACACGACAGCATGGCTCCGGAGCTCGGCCAGGTCAGGGTGGGACAGGCCGGCGCCCGCGGGTCCTGGGGGCGTGCGCACTACGCAGCCGCGGGACGCGGCGGCCACAGAGCACGCGAGCCGGCCAGAGCGCCCGCCGCCCTCGGGCGCCCCCAGTGGCCAACCTGGGTGCGGCCGGGGAGCCGCGGGCACGACGGCCGCTCGCCTAGCTGGGGTCGAGCCCGCGGCCCACCTTGGACCCTCCCAAGGGTATCAGATCCGGCTCCCAGACACCCCTGGACCCACACCCTGACTTGGTGTCTCACCTGGAGCCTGGCTGCTGCAGCGTCCACCGGGTCCTCCCAGCGGCCCCCAGGGAGGAGTCGGCCTCTTAAGTGCCCGTCTACTACGGCTTCCTCCCGCCCCTGCGGCCCTGGCCCAGCCGGGGGCCCTGAAAGCCATGTCGGTGTGAAAGGTCTCAGCCAGGGGGGTGCAGCCCGCTGCTGCCGGGGACGCCCTCTAGTGTCCAGCGACAAGGCCAGGAGAGGCAGGTGGGGCGGGCCCAAGCCCTGCCTCGCTCCAGGGCAGCTCTGTGGAGGGAGAGGCCTGTCCCAGGAGCAGCTGAATGTGGGGGTCTCATGTGGTCTCTCCTGCTCAGAGCTGCACCCCGCAGGGTTCCCGAGGCCCAGAGGGGGTAGTGAGTATGGCCCATGGTTAAGAACCACCTCCGGAGCGGACAGAGCTAGAGCCTTAGTCTCCAAACCCTTGACCCCCTGAAGCCAACCCAACCCCTAGAACAACAGCTGGTGAAGCCACCTCGAGTGGGTTTCCTGTCACTTCGACAAGTCTCCTCGTCTGTAAAATGGGGACTACCATCCCTACCTAAGAAGACTGCAGTGAGTCACAACCGTGTCTATCTTGCCCACAGTAGGCGCTCATCCCTGTTCCCATGGCAAGGACATAGGGCTGCACACCCACCCCAGCCTCAGTCTCCCCAGGGTGCCCCTTCGTCAGCATTTTACATACTCTCCTCCCTGGCACCTGCCCTCAGGTGCTCCAGCGTGGGAGGGCCGCCCCTCACTGCCTCCCAGCCCAAGGACTGCGTTTGCACTAGGATGTCATGCACTTCAAACCCAATACAAACAAAGCAAGACCTATTTGTTCGTTCTCCGTCCCCACTCTTGGCACGGCTGTTCCTCCAGCAGCCTCAGGTAGCAGCACCGTGCCATCTGCCCATTTAGGAGGAAAACCAAGACTCCCTCCTTGAGTCGTCACTGTGACTCCACTTCCGGCTGCTCACCCACCCAGCCAGCTCCATCTCACAGCTCAGTGTGATCCCTGTGCTGCCCGGCAGGGGAGAGGCCAGCGGTACAGGAAGGGGAGCCAGGCCACCTGGCTCTGTGTCTTCCTTAGACTACTTTTTCGGATGTGGCCACCCCTGGAACTCAGCTCCCATGTTTCTTTGTCCAGCTTCATTCCCAACCTAGTGGCTTCCTTCACACCTCGTGCTCTTCCTAATTTTTATGTGACGTTTGCCAGTGTCGGCCCCAAGACCAGAGACCACAGCGGAGACCCAGCCCGTGAGAGGTGCTGCATCTGCAGTAAGGTCGCCTCCTCTGGGAGCCCTCCTTGACTGCTCCTCCTGGAGGCGGACAAATGTCCTGCTGGGCTGGGTCTCCAGGCCTGCAAGGAGCCCCAGCTCAGAAAGGAAGTCAGGAGTGGACAAAGGCAGGGGAGGCTCATACAGGTGTGCACACAGCCCGCTTCCATGTCGTCAGGCTGCTTCACAGCTTTATTAGGGGCCTGCAGAAAGGCAGGGGCCCAGCCCCACAGGCAGCAGGAGCAAGTCCAGAGGGCTCCAGAGCCCCCCAGGGCCCTGGCCATGGTAAGTCCAGGGTCGGACCTGCCTGCCCACCCTGTCCGGGAAGAGGGAGGGGAGGGGGGGCGCCTCAGGAGTACTCTCGCGTGAACTTGGCATGGAACTGGCTCAGCTTCTCCAGCAGAGGCCGCAGCTTCTCCATGGGGGGCAGAATGGTCATCCTAAAAGGGAGAGGGAGGTAAGCAAATGTGTTGGGGGCTGCCGGGCTAAACCATGCGGTGCTGGGCCTCACCGAAAGTGGTAGGTGCCTTCCCTCTGCCCAAAGCCACTCCCGGGCACCACGCAGATGCCGGTCTCCTCCAGAAGGCTCATGCAGAAGAACATGTCTGGAGCCAGGCCCAGCTCCTGGGGGCGGTCGGACCGGGCGGGGCGGTCAGGACTGGGCGCCCAGCCTCCGCGCCCACGCCCCCCTATCCCCGCCCCCCGCCCCGCCCCGCCCTCGGGCCTAGCTCGCCTGCCCTCACGCCAGTCGCCAGTCGGCCCGACCTACCTGGGCCCGACCTACCTGAGCGCGCTGCACGGCGCGCGGGGGCAACTGCACACGAGGGAAGGAGTACATGGCACCCTGCACCGGGTTGCAGCGAATGCCGGGAGCCTCGTTGAAAACCTGCTCCGTGAGCTTCGCCTTCGCCGCCAGCTCGGCCAGCACCACCTGCCTCTCCTGCGGCCGCGGAGGTCGGCTGATCAGACCTGGCGCCGTGTCGCATGATCGAACCCCCCCTCCCCCCCCCGCCCGCTCACCGCCTGGAACTGCGCGAAGGAGGGGTCGGAGGGCGCCGGCGGGCTGACCACCATGCTGAGCAGGACCTGGCCCGGCACAGGCGGGCACAGCCGCACACTCATCAGCTTCTGCATCTGTTGTTGTACGGCGGGGTCCATGTTCACCACCTCCACGTAGCCGCCGCGGAACCCGCACCTGCGGGGCGGCGAGGGCAGGTGTCAAGGCAGGGCCAGCGAGGGGGAACCAAGCCGGGGGGTGGAGTCCGCGAGACCCCGCCCGCTCAGCCTGCACGCACTCTCCCATGTAGCCCTTGGATACGGAGTGGAAGGAGGCGAGCTCCTGCTGCGTCGCGTAAGGCGGCCCCATCTCCGTGAGCACCTTCTTGAACGAGTGGAACTGAGAGCCCTCCGCATACACGTTGTCCTGGTACACCTGGATGGGAGGACTGGCGTCACGGTGCGCGGGGGGCGGGGGGGCTGCCACTGTTGCCCTCCAACCCCAAGCCGCAGGCGAGCCTCTGCCAGCACCTCATCAGCCATCAGGAAGAGGCGCTCCTCGAAGGCAAAGCGAATCACGGCCTCGATGCACTCGCGGGCTTGCACCTGCCCTGGAGCGCGGAGGATGCAGCATTTCCAGGGTCAGACTCTTGCGCTCTGCGCCGAGAGGCAGCATGGGGGGGGGGGGGGCGGCGGGGAGGGAGAGCGCAATGACCCCGGCTGGGAGGGGGAAGCGGCAAGGCTGGGGGGATGGGCGGCGCACCAGTGGGGTTGCCAGGGTTGATAATGCAGAGTGCGCGTGGGCAGCAATGACCACGCGCCTGGCACAGGGCCCGCCGCAGCTCGGCCACGTCGAGTGCCCAAGCGCGTTCTTCGTCCAAGTAGTAGTCCACCTGCACAGCGTTGAGCTCGGCCAGCGCCGCTGAGTACAGCGGGTACTGAGGGATGGGGATGAGCACACCTGTGCGGGTGGGGCCCTCTCCGGCCACCAGCAACTTCAGCACCGTCTGTAGGGATGGGGAAGCAAGGTTGGTGGGGCCCACAGGGATTGCACCTGTTCCCCGCCCCGCCCGGAACCACAGTGCCAGGAGGAGCAAGGTCCGCCCAGCCGCACAAAAAGAGCCCTGGTGTCCTCCTGCCCTGGCCCTGGCCTACCACGATGGCGTCGCTGGCCCCGGTGGACAGGTAGATGTTGTTGGGGTCTGAGGGAATGCCTCCGTCGCGACGCTCGATGTACCGAGCTACATCCTCGCGGATCAGCTGGATGCCGGAGCTGACGCTGTAGGCCCCTGGGCCAGGGGGCGAGGCGGGACGGGGAGGAGAAGAGGACCCGAGAGGTTCCTTAGCAGTCCTCCAGAGTACCTCCGCCCCCTTCCAGCAGCAGAGCCCACCCCTCCCCTGGGAGGGCCTCCTGCCTGCTCCTCTCTGGGGCTTTGGCCGGTTTGGGCACTGGCACTTACCCAGGCTGTGTCCCCCACACGCCTGCAAGATGCGCTCAGCCTTTCTCTTGGCATCCTCTGGGAAGTCGGGGCTGTTCAGGAGATCAGGGTGGACACAGAGGGCCAGGACCTGGGAGCATTGGACACTGAGCCAGAGCACTTGGGCTGACTGGGGAGGAGCCCAGAGCCATGCTGAGCCTCACCTGACGCAGGAAGGTGATGGGCTTCTGCCCCATGGCCTGTGCATCCCCGATGTTGGCACGGATGACCTCAGTGAAGGGCTTCTTTACCCCCTGGGAGGGAGGGGGCACAGGCAGTGAGAATGGGCCGTCTATCACTCTGACAGGTCTTTGTCCCGTGTGACTGTGGGAATGGGTCTGACTCAGCTGTCCAGGTGCAGCTGGAGGGCAGTGGCGGGGCCCAGGGCCATACCTGGCGCAGTTCCTGCTCCAGCTCCAGGGCACGCAGCACAATGGGACCGCGCACTGCGTACTCCACCCTCCGGACACACGGGTTCATGGTGTCCAGCGTCAGTACCTTCTCCTTCAGCCCGTTCATTGCAACCTGGCTGCGGTCACCTGCCCTCAAGGCCATGACCCTACTCAGACCAGGCAGGAAGGTCAGGACACGGCAGGATTCAGAAGTGGGGATAAGGGAAGCCGGGTCCAGACTCAGTGGGCCAGGGCTGGGAAGAGGGAGCCTGGGTAGAGGGGCTCAAGGTAAAGGGCACCCTCTTCGCTGCAGCCTGCTGGCCCCACTGAAAGGGACAGAAAAGGCTGAAGAAGAAGTCGGGGCCGCTGGGCCCCGCCCCACCCATCTGGGCACAGCTCTGCCCCAGGGAGCCATAGGGAGGGCATGAGGAGGCAGGCGGGGCTTGGGGCGAGGCCCAGTGCCCGCCCAGTGTCCCCATGACCGGGGAGCAGGAGACCTACATGGGGGGTAGGGACAGACAGAAGGTTCAAGAAGCTCTGAGGGACTGGGCCTGGGGGAGGGGAAGTGCGCTGAGTGCCCGGAGGGGTTGGCAAAGCTGGGCAGAGCTAAACCCCCAGGGGAGATGGAGCTGGGGCCCCTGGAGATTTACCCCAGCACGGCTCTGCCAAGGCCTAGCCCTCTCAGGCCCCCCATCTTTGCTTGGGCCAGCAGGCCTGTCTCCCAGGTAACTGAGTCAGGCCTCTACAGAATCCTGGCGTTACTGGGAGAAGGGAGCGAAAGCTCAGATGCGGGGTTCCATCTGGCCAGCCCCTCCTGGGCTGGCAACCATGGCCCACAGGCTGCAGGAGCCCTGCGGTTGGACCTTGGTCCCAGATCAGCAATTGGTGGAGGCCGGAGTCTCTGGGTTGGGTTGTTGCATGACAGGGTAGGGTGGCTCTGGGCCCTCGGACACCTCGGCTGCTCTGGGCTGCCGTTGTGCCCTTTCACCATGCGCCAGCCTGGAGCTGCCCTTGGGGCCACACCACAGGCAGGGTGACCTAAGCTCCCCTCCCCTGTTGCTCCTGATTGGTGGAGATAGTGGGAAGCGAGCTGTGATAGGCCCTCGGGGCCCCACCTCCCCAGGCCCTGAAGGGAGCTGATAGGCCATGCCCAGGGGTGGCTACCCCAGCTGCTGACATCTGACTCTGAGCGGAAGGTCAAGGAGCCAGCCCTCAGAGAGGCTGTGGGCAGCTGGTCAGGCCTGAGGGCGACCTATGCCACGCCCAGGCCAGAGCACAGGTTTATACGGTCCCAGCCCCAGGCAGAGTCAGCCCCCTCCCACCCCTGGCAGCAAGGCCCAAGTGTTAACAGGTGGACCTTGGCAGCTGCACCGCCCCACACACTAAATTTAACCTGCGGCCCATCCCCTGGCCCTCCCCAGCCCTGCTGAGAACACCCCTCCAACCAATGATGCTCAGGAAAGGGTGGGCCCTGCAGACACGGGGCTGGCTGGGTCAGTACCCACTGGGGAGGGGAAGGTGACCAGCACTGGTGGCCATGCAGAGCTGCCCACTATGGACAAATGAGCTAGCAGTGCCCCCAGCCCTCCCACTTGAGGCCCCTAAGGGGCCCCTGTCACCCTGACACATTGTGCCCAGCCGGCTCAGAATCTGGGCTGCCAACCACTGGCCCCCTTTGCCAGCCCAGTTGGAGGCTGGCAGCCAGGCCCCAGGACCAGGGCTACATGCCAGCAACGGGGGACTCTTCCCCCAGGGAGGTTCCTGACTCCAGCCTTGTACGGATTCTCCCCTCTGCGGCTCAAGAGTCTTGTGGAAAGCCCCCTCCCCTTCCAAGCCAGGATCCCTGCCCCTCTGGCATGGATACCCCCAGCCCTGACCCCCAAGGAATGTCCTTCCGGAGCTCCCGGCTCCTCCCAGGAAAGGAAGGAGTTACAGAGGAGCCTCCAGGAGGCTGGGAAGGCAGGGAGGCAGGCTGCAGTGCAGGCCAGGCTTCTTGCCCCGTGGCCGGGGGCCTCACTCCCACGCAGGGCCAGGCAGCCACAAGCAAGCCCCCCTACAGGCCCCCAAACAGGGACAGGCACATCCAGAAGCAGCAACACAACAGCTCCCCACTCAGGACAGGGGCCCTGCTGACACACACACAAGGCAGGTGGCAGAACAGCCCTTTATCAAGAGTCATACGATGAAACTAGGTCTCTGCAGCCAGGTAACCCCCCCCAGGAGGGCTTCTGCCAGGGGTTCGTCCCTGAGCAAGGAAGCTGGCACCCTCGGGTGAGGGGAACAGGGGAGGCCCTGCAGGCGCTATCCCCCAGCAGCAGCACCGGGTCTCCAGAGCAGGGGCCCCGCGGCAGCCTCCAGCGGGGCCTGACAACAGGACTTTGTGACTCTGGGTGCCAGCCCCTCACATGAGCAGGCAGCAGGGCCTCTTCTCCATGGGGGCCTCCTCGGAGGGTGCTGTGAGCTTCAGCAGGGGCGGGTCTCCACCAGCCCCAGAGCTGCACTCCGGCTGGGGGCTCTCGGCGTCCGCAGGCAAGCCAGGCTCAGGGGCCTCACGTCCCTCAGGCAGGGGATGCTGCACCTTAGCAGCGGCTCGTTGGCGTTTCAGCTCTGCCAGCGTGTGGTGGGCCTTGGCCCGGACCAGGGCATCGGGGGTGCTGCTCTCCAGGGGGCTCAGCTGGTAGGAGATGCTCCGGTCCAGCCGCTTGGAGTGCAAGTGCTGCCCTGGGGTGCCTCCAACTCGGCCATTGTGCGGCCTGGCCGACTCGGGGTCGTCGTCCTGCTGGGGAAGCATGGGCCTCAGAGGCCATCAGGAAGGCCTTCTCCGGCCTCCCTTGGCCGCCGTGGGCCCCTGGCTGCATGGGAGTCAGGGGGCAGAAATGAGCTTGCTGCACTGGGCCCAGGGTGGTGGGAGAAATGAGACGCCGAGGTCAGGCCACACACAGAGGGTAGCGCCCAGGCCCACAGCCACCATGCTGGAGGTGGACGGCGGGGGGCTCACCTCGTTGGGCATGGGTCGCAGCTCCGCGTCCGTCTGGCCATCCTCGTCCTCCTCGGGCGGCTCTGGGCTAGTGGGCGGCGGCTGCTGCCACACGATGGCCTCCTGGGCATGCTCCCTGCGGTACAGGCTGGTGCGCTGGGTCAGGCTCACCCTCCTCACCACCTTCCTGCAGGAGGGCACGGTGAGGGTGGGGGGCGGGTGCCACTCGCCCTGCGGACCCTGCAGCCACGTCAGCAGGGGCCAGGGCTGGGCAGAGTGGGGGAGGTGGGGGTGTGGACGGGCTGCCTGCCGGCCAGGGCGGGACGCTAAGGTCGACCACGGGCGCTCACCCCCGACTGCCCGCGCTCGAGGTGCGGCGGCGCAGCAGAGAGCGCCGGTGGCCCTGGGCGCGCAGGAGCGCGTCATGCTTGTGCTTCAGCTCCAGCAACTTGGTCCGCACCTCCTCGTCCCCGCACACGTCTAGGAGAAGTGGGCGGGGGGTCAGCGGTGCCCTCTCACCCACCCTCTACACTGGCAGAGGCGGCCCCAGCTCACCGAGAGGCGTCTCGCCCATCAGAGACTTCCCGTTCAGGTCGGCCCCGTGCGCCACGAGCAGCTCCACCAGATGTACCTGAGGGCCGGCGAGCCCGGGCTGCTGAAGGGCCCGGGGCCAGGAGCCAGGGCAGCCCCCGCCCCCGCCGGGCGGTCACCCCCCACCCCGCACTCACCTGGCCCCAGTAGGCTGCAGCGTGCAGCGGCTCCCAGCCATCCTGGTCCTTGGCGCTCAGGCTGGCCCGGTGTTCCAGCAGCAGGCCAGCTGCCTCGCCAAACCCATTGGCGGCCGCGATGTGTAGCTACGGGCAAAGCGCTCAGCCCTGAGTCCCTGCCGTGCCCTCCAGCAGCAACCTCCCCACCTGCACCTCACGTGGCCCCATCCTCACCAGTGTGGCCCCATGGTCCTGGGGGACATCGATGTCGGCTCCCGCCTGCAGCAGGCTGCGGATGTCGTCCAGCATGCACAGCTCTGGCAACGCCCGGGCCCCCTCAATGCGGTCCTGGGTGACGCCTGAAGGGCAGCGAGCTCAGCTGGTGCCCCAGGCACCCTACGTGGGCGAGTGGGGTCCCACTCACCGCTGCTGGCCATGGCTGTCTCCAGGCAGTCCAGCGTCTGCTCATCCTCACAGAGGTCGTAAGGCATGTTCCCATCAGTGTTGACGGCCAGGAGGTCGGCACCACTGCAAGAAGAATGGACAGGGGCTTTGGCCACAGAGCCTTTCTCTCCCAGGGAGACCTCTAGTCCACCCTCTGCGGAGGCCCTCAGCCTGGGGCTGCTCTCCAGGACAGTGTGGGTCACAGATGGAGGCGGCCCAGGCCCCTGATGCCCCTCAGCTCTGGATCCTGCCCTCAAGCCAGTTAGGCCACCCCCACAGTCTCCACCCGTGTCTGAGCTCCAGGTTCCACACCCATGCACCCCTGTCAACCCACACAGTGGGCCCACCAGCCAGGAGGGGGTGCCAGGACTCTAGGAGCCTCAGGGAGCAAAAAGTAGAGGAAGGAGGAGCGCCTGGATGCCAGGAGAGAGCTGCAGGGAACAAGGCTCAAGCAGAGGCACGGCCAGGGGGAGGACAGGGAGCTGCAGAGGAGCGCAGAACACAAAGGTGGGTGCCCACTCTACAGCATGTGTGTGTGAAGGGAAGAGACTGCCAACCACCCACACACCCACCATCAGCACCTAGACCACGCCAAGGAGAGCCTGAGCCCCTGACCATCCGTTCTGCTGTGGGGGTCAGAGTTGAGGGGCCGTGGCAGTGGGGGGAGTTCCTGGACGCCGGTAAAGCCGACCGCCCTCCCGTTCACCAAGAAGCCCTGCCCTGCTCCAGCCTCCTTGTCAAAGGCCCCGTCCATGGCCAGGTGCCCCCTCCGTCTTTGCCAGTGCTGCCCTCATCACTCTGGCCAGAAGGGCATGTCTGTCAGACCCCAGGGAGACCAGAGCTAGAGGCCAAGGCCCACCCTCGAGGAGTTCCCAAACTCCTAAGGGGGCTTGGCAGGAGGATGCGCCCAGGAGAACCACCACACTTCTCCGAGTACATGCTCATTCCCTTGTGTCTGCAGCCTCTGCCCAGGCCCTGATCTCCATGCCAGGGTGAAGTCAGGGTAAGCAAAGGTGAGTGGAAACCCACGAAGCAAGGGCCAAGCATGCTTCCTGCAGAGGAGACACCTGGGCTGTGTCTCAGGATGAACTCCTGTCTGCAAGGAAGGTCCTGCCTCTCCTGACCCAACTGCAGCCCCTTCCTGATACAAACGCCCACTCTGGCCACACTGACGGGGCCCTACCGGGCAATGAGCAGCTCTACCAGGTGCAGGTGGCCGCAGGTGGCCGCAGCATGCAGGGGTGTCCAGCTCTCACTGTCGCAGGCATTGACCTTGGCCCCAGCCTCTAGGAGCTGCCGCACCATCTCCCGGAAGTCATCGATGCAGCTCTACGAACCACAGAGCCTGAGTGCCAGAGCCCAGGCCAGCGCCCCCTCCTCTCCCACCCGCTCCCCGCCCGGCAGGGCTGACCTGGTGCAGGGCCGTCAGGCCATCCTCATTGGCCAGGTCGGGGCTGACCCCACTCTCAAGGAGCTGGCGGACTGTGAGAAGGGGGAGGAGGGAGTGTGGTAAGAGCGCAGAGAGAGGTCCGGCCACAGGCCAACACTGTTCTAGTCGGGGTGCAGGGTACCTGAGGGTACCCGGGCTGACCGCTGTGCTGCAGCTGGGAGCAGGGAATGCCGAGGAGGACAGAGGTGCAGGGGGCCAGAGGGACCCCCGAGCCCAGGCTGAGGGCTCAAGAGCCGGGCACTGGGTCTCTGTCTGCCCCAAGTCCGCATACACAGCATGCTCCTGCCTCCAGCACCAAGCAGGACCCATCCCCCTGAATCCCGACACTCCAAGCCTCAGGCTCCTGAGGACAGTCCCCGGCCGGGGTTCTGGCACCCTCCCCCAACAATACCCTCACTGGGTCCCATGCTCCCCCAAGCCTTTTCCACTAGCAGAGCGTTTGAACCCTACACATGCCCCAGCCCAGAGCAGGCCCGCAGTGTGGGCCCAAGGCATCCAGGCCTGTCCCCTCCAGGGTCTCCCCTCAGCAGAGCTAGTCCCTGTCCTCATCGTTCAGTGGGCCCAGGCTGTCGCCAAGGTCACCGTGGACCTCCTTGACGGCCTGGCCCTCTCAGACTGTGCCCCACAGGCAACAGGAGGACTCACCCTCCTTCCCACAGCCATGGCCTGCGGCACGCCCACCACACCCTCCTCTACTTTCCCTGCCCTGAGGCAGTGCCCGCCCCTCCTTGCCCTCTGCACCCCAGCCTCTGCCCTGGAGGAAAGCAGGAAGAGCCCTCCAGAGCCTCTCCTGGAGAGAGAGGGGCTGTGAGCACACAGGGTTGCCGGGGAGGAATGAGGAGCCTGCCAAAAGCTCAGGCCTGTCATCTAGCCAGGAAGGTCTTGATGGGGAGGAAGAAGTCAAAGAGGGGGCCTGAGGCAGGTGTCAAGGGGGCTGGCCTGTGGGGGGCCCCTGCCCCCGCGCTCTAACCTGCTGAGGTGGGGCGTTACCGTCCTCCTTTACAGAGGTGGAGACTGAGGACCCAAGCAGGTGGTGGCCAGGACTCTCCTGATTATCGCCCAGCACCCTGGCAAGAGGCGCGAAGACTATGGGCCACTCCCAGCCCACCTGAGCGAAGCCCTGGGCACTTGTCCAGGCTCCTGTGGGCTTGCCCGATGCCCCTGCACAACCCCCCGTCAGCCTCATCCCTGCAGCAGCACCCTGTGTGTGCCGCCCCATCACGGGCTAGCCTCAGGTGGCCTACCACTTAGAGCATGCCACTGAGGATGCCAGGCCAGCCCCTAGGCCTCCACAGGATGGCACTGTGCCCCGGGGCTCAGCCACGCTCACCTTCTTCCAGATCATTTCGGGCAGCAGCCTCTAGAAGGGTGACACTGGGAGGGAAGAGGACCCGCTTCTGTGGCCTGCCACGGGCTGCCTCCTTCCATGGCCGCTCCCGGTGGCCCTTCTTGCCCTGGGCCTCCTTCTCAGCCTGGGCCCACATCTTCACCTGCTGGGCACGCCGCTTCTGCGCATGCTTGAGCCGCTCCTGCGTGCTCATCCTGCCCACCATGGGCATCTCTGCCAGCAGATCCAGGTGCTCGGCCATGGCGGGGGCTACCTGCCGGGGGGGGCGGCTCGGGGCACCAGACCGGGGAGCACAGGGGCCAGACTGGGCCTCAGGAGTGGGGCAGCAGGCTGGACCAGCACCCGTGGGGGCATCCCCTCCCTGAGGCTCAGTGGTGCCCTCTGCCCCGGGCAAGGCTAGGTCACAAGGCCCCACGCCGCGACCAGGCCCAGGCAGTCCTGAGGGACACGGGCCCCAGGCAAAAAGGGCAGGGTGGGAGAGTGCCCGCAGCCTGCCTCTCAAGAGCCCTGACACCTCGGCTGCTCAGCGGGCAGGGCCTCACCTCCCTCTTGCGGTCAGGGTGCACAGCCTGTGGGAAGCAGCCCAGGACCTGGCCAGCCTCAGTCCAGGGTCTGAAGCTAATTACCCAGATAACAACGTTGCCGTGTCCCAGCACTTCAGTGAGGGTGAAGGGAGGGCAAGGCAATGAGCAGAGGCCCCTGGGAGCCCTTGGGAGTTCTAGAAGCCCCCTCCCCTCCCAGACCTCAGGATCCTGGGTGGGGTCTGGGAGCAGCCATGGCCTGGCCTTCCCTCCCCTCTCTCATCAGTCTTCCAGGGTCAGTGCATCAGTGCTAACAGGGAGGTGTGGCCAGAGGGCGGCCCCCTAGCCACACAGACGCCAGGGCAGGGTGTGCCCTCAGAGTCCTGCGGTCTCGGCCCCCAGTGCCCAGCAGTGAGACTGTCTGAGCAGCCAGGGTGCCAAGGGCACAGCAGGCCTGGCAGCTGTGTCTCCGGAGTGCCTCCTTCTGAAGAGCAGTTGGTCGGGCTGCAGACAGCAAGTGGCTCCCACTAGCCTGTGGAGGAGGAATGGGAAGCTTGTCAAGGCCAGCCCCAGGTGGGGCAGGCCAGCAGGTGAGATGGCTAGCCCCACCCCAACAAGGCCCATCTCCAGCCCACAGTCAGCCCTGCTGGACAACATTCCTGGCAGGGGCGCTTGCCCCACCCCCGCTCTGGCTCACACACTCAGGGTTCCCAGAAAGGGCAGCGCGGCTCAGAGCAGGGAGCAAGGAGGGCTGCGCGGGCTGCGGGCCTTCCCCATGAGGCTGCCTCTCCAGGGCCCAGGTGCCAGCCTCTGGGAGCTGTTTTCTGCAAGCCTCTCAAGGCCCTGGTCCTCCACGGCATCGCTGACCCGCCTGCCCCCAGGATGCACTGCACAAGGTCACCTTCTCCTTGGGCACTCCCGGAACTGCCCTGAGGGCTGTGCAGGCTACAAACTGCAAACACAGGGCATGGCAGAGCCTCACCCACTCTGCAAGCCTCTCCTTCCCTCCTAGCTGCTCACTGCCCCCTCCCCTCCAGCCCCTCTCCACCCACAGGGAGCAGGCAACCCCACACACGAGGTGTGACCTTCACCTCTCCGGGCCTTCCAGGAGAGCTGACCTGAACAACCCACCCCAAGGGACCATAAGCAAGGAGCAAGGCACTCCGTCTCCAGCCGTGGCAAGGGGAGGGGACCCCCAGGCCCAGGCTCCCCAGCAGAGTGGGCTCACAGGGTCACAGGATGTTTCACTTCTTAAAGTCGGGCGCCGGCAGCAAAGCCCTACCTGACTGTGTTAAGTTCAGCCAGATTTAGAAGGTGTCGTCCACAGCACTTTATGGATTGAAAGAGGTTCTGATGCCCATGTCCTCCAGAAAACAACCAAAAAGAGCAAGCAGCTCTACGTGCCTTTTGGTTTACTCATTTTGAAGGCCATCCGTGAAAATTCATCACAAAGCAGGATCTGGAGAGCCTCAGCATCCCCTCCCCCAACCCAGCCACAATGGGAAGAATCCTGGCCAGCCCACAGTAGAGACGCTGGTCTCCTGGTTTGGGCTGTGGCAGCTTACTCGGGCCCTCAGCCCCTGACTCTGGTGAGCCCACCATCCTGAAGCCCTGGGTCTGCTTTGGGCCCCTGTAACAGTGCTCCTTGCTGGAAAATGCCTAAGGGCAGTCTCCCTGTAACTTTGGGCAGGTCCTTGGGCTGCTGATGACCTTCTCTGAGCCCAAGGTGACCCTAAGGTAACCCTGGGAGTGCCAGGGAAACACCGCAGTGGACGCCCGATCCCAGGACAGTCTCCATTGAGGGGTGGCCCCTCCAGGCTCAGCCCTAAGCCTTCTGGGCCCCAGGCCCCTGGACCCCAGCTGACATCCTTCCCCAGGCCTCACTCAGCTGCCTCCTCCCAGCCACAGTCCAGGAAAAGCCCACCAGAAGTGAAAGACTCAACCCTCAACTGAGCCACCAAGGCCAAGATGACATAGTGGGGTCCCACGGAATGGCCAGTGCACCACACCCAGGCCACAGAGGGGCAGGGGGGTGGTAAGCAGGGCCTCTCCCACCTTGTTCACAAATCCTTCCCCCAAGTCTGGCTGGAATGTCAAACAGAAAATCTGGCCAATTTTTTCCAGGTTTCAGCTCCGAGCCCATGTAAGCTGCACAAGCTCCCTGGCTTCTGGGACGCAGGCCCAGTCCCCAGACCCCAGCCCAGCAGGAACAGATCCATGCTCCTGCGACACCCAACGTCACAGCCTCCCAGCAGGTCTCTGTCATTATCCCATTTGCTACACAGGGAAACTGAAGCCATGCCTACATCCAAAGTCCCCTGTTAACCACTCCACCACATCACCCCTCATGCCCACCCTAGTATCCCCTGTGTGAGGATTAGTGATGGTGTAACGAGAACCCGGAGCCTGGGAGGGGCGGTGTCGCTTTACTCACCCATGGCCTTGTTCAGAGAGAGGAAAAGATTGAGGATGGAACCTGGGGCAGCCCAGGCTGCATCAGGCCCAAGCAGGCCCACCCCCCGCCTTCCCTCTGGTTCTGGGGACTTCCCACCCCCCAGATGTGAAGCTGTGCTTGGCTTTTTGGAGTAGGCTCCTATAACTTGCAATCAAAAGAGCTGGTTTTATTTGCAGCATTATCTACAATAGCAAAGAATGAGAAAATCTCTAGACACCCCTCACTCTGGGAAAGTACATATTGCCATTCTAGAGAGTAACAAGGTCAGGTCATCTGAATGCTGTGGGTGAGGTGCTGTGACCCCTCCCTGAAACCTGATGCAGAGCTGACACTGCCCAAGTTAGGGCGGGCGTCCCAGAGACATAGGTTTATCCATCAGTGCAAACAGAGGGTGATGCAGGACTCACACGCAGCAAGGGCCCCCGGAGCCCGGCCCCCATTCCAGGGCTCACCCCTAGCACCCATCCCATGTGCTCACCCTCCCCCACTCCTGACTGGCTCACCTTGGAAGACTCCCATCCCACCAAGGACCCAGACCCCCGCGGGCACACGTGCCCCACGGCAGCTTCCCGAGCAGCGGAGGCTGGGCACTGGACACCAGGCACAAGGGCACTATCTGTCCTGGCCTGTCTCTTCCACTAGAGGACAAGCTTGTTAAGGGCACAGTCCCTGTCCTAACCACGTGCTGGCCCCTGCAAGAGGAGCCTCTGGTCAGGGGGGCCAGGCCTGGCACAGCTCGGTGCAGCTGTGGAGTGGACAAGCTCAGGCCCGAGGTGCCCCATGGCCCGCACCATCCAGTCAGGGAAGGACCAGATGCCCAGAGACCCTAAGACACGACAGCGCCAGGCTGTGAAGAGGCAGCCCCACCCACTTGACTGGCGTGCCTGCTCTGGTCACTCAACAAGCTCTCCTCCCTCCCAGCTCCCTTGCTCTACTCGGCTCTGCACTGGGGGCAGGGACGGCCTGGCACAGCTCGGTGCAGCTGTGGAGTGGACAAGCTCAGGCCCGAGGTGCCCCATGGCCCGCACCATCCAGTCAGGGAAGGACCAGATGCCCAGAGACCCTAAGACACGACAGCGCCAGGCTGTGAAGAGGCAGCCCCACCCACTTGACTGGCGTGCCTGCTCTGGTCACTCAACAAGCTCTCCTCCCTCCCAGCTCCCTTGCTCTACTCGGCTCTGCACTGGGGGCAGGGACGGGGGACGGGAGGGGACTGAGGACAGGCCCTACCATCCGCCGAGGAGCAGGATGTGCATCAGTGAGCGAGGCCAGGCCCGGCACCCGTGAGGAGAAGGAAGGAGGCACTGGAGCTGCAAGCCCACAGCCGGGCCGCCCAGGGCACGCTCTGAGAGCAGCAGGTGCGGACCTGCGGGTGCTACCACGGGCACCCCCCACGGGGGCAGCGACGCAGCACAGAGCGGCCATCCCCCCGGGCGCGCTCACCAGCAGTCCCCTAGGGCTGGCCCCTGTTCCAACAGCCTTTATGACAGAAAACACTGCAAATGACCTTTCTGTCTGTCACAGGGCCTAACTAAGTAAGACCCTGAGGGGTTTATGAAGAGCTTCCTGTGCACCATCATGGAATGGTCGCTAAGAAATCGTGTTTGTTCAGGGGCACCTGGGAGGCTCAGTTGGTTGCACCTGACTCTTGATTTCAGCTCGGATCACAATCTCGGGGCTGTGGGATTGAGCCCTACATCGGGCTCCACGCTCAGTGCAGATTTGGCTTGGGATTCCCCCTCTCCCTCCGCCCCTCCTCCCACTCACACGTGCGCTCTCTCTCTTTCTCAGATAAATAAATCTTGGTTGTCTTTTTTTTAAAGATTTTATTTATTTATTTGAGGGGCGTCTGGGTGGCTCAGTCGTTAAGCATCTGCCTTCGGCTCAGGTCATGATCCCAGGTTCCTGGGATCGAGCCCCGCATCGGGCTCCCTGCTCTGCGGAAAGCCTGCTTCTCCCTCTCCCTCTCCCCCTGCTCCCTCTATCTCTGTTCCTGCTCTCCCCCCCTCTGTCAAATAAATGAAGAAAATCTTTAAAAGAAAAAAGATTTTATTTATTTATTTGAGAGAGACAGAGCATGAGCAGGGGTGAGGAGCAGAGGGAGAAACAGACTCCTCGCTGAGCAGGGAGCCCAATGTGGGGCTCAATGCCAGGACCCTGGGATCATGACCTGACCTGAAGGCAGACGCTTCACTGACTAAGCCACCCAGCCACCCAAATAAATAAATCTTAAAAAAAAAAAAGTGCTGTTCAGTGAAGAAAAAAGATATAAAGTCTGTTTATGGTACACTACCTTTTGTGTACATACATTTTTTTGTACCTAAGAAACACAAGAAAGACACACAAAAAGACCAGAAGCGGTCACAGTGGGGTTCAGAGAGGCAGACGGATGGGGAATGCACACTTTGGGTCACTTCTGTTGGATTTGGGAGCCATGCAAGGTAACCCTCCTCTAGGCACCTGTAAGCGCTCTCTGTTCTGGGAGAACAGGTGTCAGCACTCCTGTTGGCTATCAGGTCCGAACCAGCAAGGACAGCATGAGCCACAGTCAGCTCCAGGAGCATCTTCTGTGCCCAGCTGAGGAGCTGGACTCTACCCACAGGCTGTGGGAGCCACAGAAGCTTTCAGACAATGACTGATGTGATCAGATGGGGGGTGAAAGCAACTTCACAGAAGAGGCACAGGGACCCACACACCTACCCAGGAGGGAGTGGATAGGAGAAGACAAGAGTAACAGGATGAGGATGGGACAGGTTGTCAGATGCAGGGAAAGGGCAAGTGAGCAGAAGAGAGACGAAGGAGGGCCCTTGGAAGTAGGTCTGAGCAGTGCCCTGGGCAAACTGGCACCAGGAAGCCCAGGACAGAGCATCCAGGAGAGGGGCCAACAGAGATGCACGTGGGAGGACTAGGGTGGCCACTGTAGGGGGCTCAGTGGGGCCACACAGGGCCACCAGGGAGCACCACTTCAACGCGTGGCTACAGATGGCAGTAAGCGCCTAGAAAAACAGGACAGGATCTACCTCTCTCCTCACCCCAAAATCAACTCCAGGGGCGCCTGGGTGGCTCCGCTGGCGAAG